CTGTAGACAAGTCCTTTCTCATATAAAAGGACCAGTCTGTAGTTTGTCTTTTCATTCTCATAACAGTGTTTTTCAAGTAACAAGAGTTATTAATTTTGTGGAAATCTAATTTCTGAGTATTCTCTCTTATGGGTTGTGCTTTTGTTATTTTAAAAATTTTTATTTTTATTTTTTTTGTGTGTGTGTGTGTGTAACCCAAGCTCACAAAGATTTATCTCCTATGTTCACTTTTAAAAGTTTTATCGTTTAAGGTTTTAATTTAGGTCCTTGATCCATTCTGAGTCTTTTGGGAAAAGTTTCTATCTTTTATGAGAGACAAAAAGAGAGAAGGACAGGTACCCACCTTTCCCAGCCAGCCAGGATCATGGGCACGTGTGTGAGTGCCTAGTGTGTAAAGGGTGACCAGGAACCACATCCTGTGATAGATACTGCTGCATCATCATGGCTGGGCCTTATTTTAATATTATTATTATTTTGGTGCATATGACTATGTTGCAACTGCCCCAGCACATTGTGGCAAATTTCATCCTTTCATTTTTTGTTCGTTTGTTTTATGTTTTTGTCAAACTCGGTTGTCTGTATGTGTGTGGGTCTATTTATGGATTCTTTTTTTTTTTCCTTGGAAACAGAAACAGAGAGAGGGAAAGTGAGAAAGCATTCCTTGGGGGGATGGCCACGCTGCAATCCTTTCTCCTCCATTCTCCTCTTGCCATTTTGAGCATGCATGCACACATGCCCAGTATAATTTTCAAGTTGCCAGGTCCAGGACTTGAACCTCAGTTGGCGATGTGGGAATCTAGCATTTTAACCACCACACCACCTGCTTATTCCTGAGGATCCTTTGTGTTCCATTGATTTATTGCTATTTTTGCATTCATTTCACACTGCTTTGATTTCTGAGGTTTGTAACAGGTCTTGAGATCAGGTAATATTAGTCTTCGAACTTAACCTTTCTCAAAGTTCTGTTATTCTAGGCTCTTTGCATTTCTGCATAAATCATAGAATCAATTTGTTAATTTCTACCTCCCCAAAAACATGCTGGAATTTGTATTGGCATTGTATTGGATCTATAGATCAATTTGGGGAGGACCAAGCCAACTTTACATTCCTGAGGTAAACCTCACTTGGTCAGAATACATTATTATCCTTATATTAGTGGATTTTATTTGCTAAAATTTGTTTAATAATTTTTGTATCTATTCTTGTGAGGATACTGACTAGTTTTCCTCTAATATATTTTTATTGTAATTTATAAAAGTTTATTTCTTGAGAGACAGAGAGATCCTGCAGAGTCTTGTTACTCGACAATCAGCAGCCCCTAACCCTAGCTCTCCAGCCCGCCAAGATCAGGGGCAGGCCAAGCCCAGGTCTTCCTGTATGGTTCCATTATTGTGACAACAGTGCTCTACTGTCCACACCACAGCAGTTGAGCCAGTTCTTTACCGTCTTCAGTCTGGTTTTGGTATGAGAGTAACGTTGGCTTCATAGAATGAGCTGAAAAGTATTCCTTCCTCTTCATTTTTTTTTTAGGGAAGAATTTGTGCCATACGTCATACTGGATTTTTTATTCCTTAAAGAGTTGGTAGAATTCACCAATAAAGTCATATGGGCCTAGAGCTTTTATCTCTTGTAGGATTTTTTTTTTTTAAACAAAACAAAAACACACATTCACTTTTTAAAATTGGTTTAGGACTATTTAGGATTTTTCTTTCTTATTGAGTGAGCTTTGGTATTTTGTTTCTTTCTAGGAGATTGCCCATCTCATTTAAGCTGTCAAGTTTCTTGGCCTAAAATTGTTTGTAACAATTCCTTATTATTCTGTCACCTTACTATATTCTATTGGGTAGAAGCAAGTTAGCTCTATTTATATGTAGCTCCAAACTATACTTCTTCACTCATACCAACCACTCCAGAGAGTGGCAAATGCATTTAGATAACCTTGCATGTAGTATGCCAACACTCTGTTGGTTTGCTCTTGGTCCACGAGGTAGGCTCAGTACTCTGAGAGCTGGGCTTCCTTTTGAGGGCAGGCCCATCATGGCAGATGGGGAAGACCTCTAGTGCATATGATCAGAAGGGAGGAACCATCCTTTGGGAAGAATCCCTGGGACTAGGCTTCTGAATGAGCTACCACACCACCTGCTGGATCCACACCCTGGACCTCCCAATTTAGTCACTGGCAGGACTTGGTATGGATCCAGACAGAGAATGAGGCCTGGTGGGGACTCTAGGATGGGCTTGCGGGAGGATCAGCTATCAGATAAACTTAACAATAATTATAAAAATAACCCCTGATGTTGGTAAAATGCTTTATAACTTATTAAACATTTCCACCTGACTTATGAGGCAAATATTGTCAGTGTCAATTTGGAGGTGGAAGATGAAACTCAGAGGGGTGTAGGAACTAACTTGCCTAAGGGCTGGACTAGGTGGAAAAGTTGGAAAAAAAGAAGGATCTTGTGGTGATCTTTCTGCAAATTCTTTGACATTCTTTTGTTCAAAAGTTGCAGTCTAATCTCCCCACATCACTCTGCAATGCAATGTGGGCCAGAGTTAATGACCAGCTTCTAGCAAACAGAATCTGGCAGAACCAATGTTACCTGATTTTCAAAGTTATGTGTATGTGTACATGTGTGTGAGTGTGTATGTATGGGTGTGTGTGTGAGAGAGAGATTCTATCTGCCTGTCTGTCTCTCCCTCTTTGCACCCTCAGGAATCCAGCTCCTGAGGTATGAGGAAGCCCAGGACACATGCTGGTTGTCAACCTCCAGCACCCACCAGAAATGTGAATGAATGAGCCATTGGATGAGTCTGAACTCAGGTCTTTGAGTCTTCCAGTGGACACCCCAGATGTGAAGGAGCAGAGAGAAGCTCTTCCCACTGCATCCTGTCTCAATTCCAGAACCACAGGAACCAGGAGAGATGATGACTTTATTATTTTAAGCCATTAAATGGTCATTTTCTAAACGGCAACAGGTAGACTTACGTGTGATGTGACAAGTGGATTAATGGGAAAAAGTAGGCAGTATCTCCGAGTCCGGGGAGGAGAAGACCTGCTGCTGGATAGGACAGGAGCAGCCCTAAGGGCACACTCTAGCTGAGTTTGGAACACTGGGCAGGGTTTGATAATTCGGATGAGGGCACATGAAAGTGCCCCAGGAAGAAAGGCACAGAAGTTTGAAAGTGCATGGGTCGGGGCAGGAAACCCACGCTAGACCAAGGGCTTGGGCCTTACCATCCTGGGTGATGGAGCCAACCCAGGGTCTCAGCGGGGAAATGACAGAGGCAGGCCAGGTTGTAGGTGCTGAAAGGTGATGTGGTGCTCTCAGTGTTTCCAAGCAAGACACCAACTGACATGACCTAGGGAGAGTGTTTACCTGGGACCTGTTTTCTTTCTTTTTCTTTTTTTTTATAGACCACAGATTAGTTTATTTTTAACACCCATCATGCCATGAATTCATAGGGAAGAGGTTCCAGTAGCTCAGGCTCCTTTCCATTGGTTCTCACAAAGTGTGCTTCTCTGGGTGGAGCAGGCTGGCGCTTTAGTTGAACCCAGGTACCTTTCTCTTTGGCTTCTTTCTTTTTCTGGTCATTTTCCTTCACACGTTTTAGGAAGCTATCTCTGCTCGTAGAATGCTTAATATGCTCAATACGCACATTGATTCTCTTGGCAAGAATCTTGTCCTTAACTTGTTTGTTCACAACAATGCCAACAGCATGCTGGGTAACATTGTAGACTCTTCCAGTTTTGCCATGGCAACATTTGTGGGGCATTCCTTTTTGAACAGTACCCATTCCCTTAATGTCTACAATATCACCTTTCTTGTAGATTCGCATATATGTCGCCAAAGGAACAACTCCATGTTTTCTAAAAGGCCTAGAGAACATATATCGGGTGCCTCTCCTATTTGTGTTCGTCATTTTGGTTAATTACTGGAAGAAGGCAGTTCCGGCTAAAACTGGAAACAGGTCTTGCTCTTTCCAGCTGCCCCTGCGGTCAGTCGCTCAGAGCTGTGAATGCTGAGAGGGTCGGTTGCACAACCCGTGGTCTCAGAGTGGAGGCAGGAAGCCACCTCTCCAGGAAGGCAGTGGAATCCAGAACCTTGACTATAGCTTCTTTGATTCTCTAACCGACACACTGATTGGGATCCAAGTTTCCATATCAATTGCTGAACTTGTCAAGTTTTACTTTAAAGCTGTGCATCCAGGCCGGGCATGGTGTGACTCAGTGACTCAGGAGGCTGAGGCAGAAGGAGGATGAGCTCAAGGCTGGCCTGGGCAACGTAGTAAGACCCATCTGAAAAGAGTCAGGCATGGTGGCACGTACCTGTGGTTCCAGCTAGGAGGCCGAGGTAGCAGGATCGTGACATGGAAAGACTCTTGCCTTTTTTTTTCCCCCCAAGGTTTTTGCCTTAAGGCACATGCACTTGTCAGAGAGAGAGAGGCAGAGACAGTGAGAAAGTGAAAAATCACCTCCCCAGAGGAGGTGGCCATGCCGTAATCCCTTCTCCATTTTTCTCCCGGAATCTTGGGCCTGCACACACACGCACCCGGCGTGATTTTCGAGCCATGGAGTCCAGGACTCGAACCGAGGTCAGCCATGTGGGAGTCCAGCCACATAACCACTATACCATCTGCTGGTCCCAAGACTCTTGTCTTTAAAAAACCAAACAAACAAAAAAATACAACAACAACAAAAAACCCCAAGCGCTCATGCTCCCATGCATCATTCATATTGTGGCGTCAATGTAGAATCAGAGAATTGAATCTTATCCATCAGCACTCAGGTGCTTGCCTGCCCCCTATGTCATTCTGCCCCGTGGTTCGCCTTGGGAGCGAACCGCTTCACAACTGAATCAGGGCCTAAACATTCCAGTCTTCAAGCTGCAATAGGGCACTGATGCCTCAGACCCATTATCTTCCCCGGAGGCCTGGGGCAGGGGGTCCCCTTTCCTACAGGAGCACGCTTGGATATGGGCACGTGGACGACCCGGAGAGCATTAAAAGGAAGTCTCCCTGGCAGGTGTGGAGGGCACGCAGGGCCCAACGTCTGGGATTTCTTCTTTTTTCTCTGGAATCTCCACCTTGTTTCTTTTGGCAAAAACACGGTTTATTTCCACAAATGTTTGGCCCTTGGTCTCAGGAATGACCATGTAGATGTAAACAGCAGTGAGGAGGCAGATTCCAGCAAAGATGATGAAACTGTAGGCACCAATGACCTCCTAGATCAAGAGACGAAGGAAACAGGAGGGGTGGAGAATAGAACCCACGCAGGGAGGCTTGGCTGAGGCCTCTGTGAGTCACAAAAGAGTTTCCTGGTGGCCAATTTTGTTTTACTCCTGGAGGAATAAATAGCTAGAAAATTGGATCCTGCACTAATATCAAAAAGAAATCATTTTTAACAATAGGAACTTGATGGCCTCCAAGCCCCTAAAGTGTCAGGAAAGGAGAGTTGGTGTACGGAGCTTCAGAAAGGGGAGGAGGTGACTGGGAACTTGTCTGCTGCCTCTGGTTCTAGCCTGTTCTCTGTTGCCTTTGAACTTTGCCCCTAAGAAGTGAGCTCTTCATGGTCTGAATGGGGAGCTCTAGTTATTCAAGGAAGCCAGAATACTTCATCGGGGGTCGTGGGGTTGCACGGCTGCTCTGGCCTCACCGGCCCTGCAAATTCCAGAAGCTGCCCTCCTTGTTGAATGGGTAGATGTTCTTCTAGAAGGGAAGCTGGTGCTCACACCCTAGTGTCCCTTCTGTCCCCCAGGTGTGGGGCGGAGTGGGGAAGGGCCTTGCTCACCTGGATGGATGGGAACACGAAGCCCACAATGAAGTTGGTGAACCAGTGCACTGCCCCGTCCACCATGAATGCTGCTGGCCTGGAGGACTGCAGGAAGATCTCGGTCCTCACCACTGAGGGGACAGGACCTGGAGTGCAGGGAGCACAGGATGGGAGGACAGCTCTGAGAGTCCCTAGGGCTTGGGACAGCCAATCCTTGCCTGCAACCTAGACCACTGAGCACCTTGCAGAGCTGACTGGGCAGCCCTGCTGGAACTGGGAAGAAAGGAGCCCCACCCCTGCCCACAACATGAGGGCACAGTTAGGGCCAAAGCTGAGACCGAGAATCTAGAATTAAATTTCCATTGCTGAGGTTCTTCTAGATCAACTATGCCAAGTGAAGGTTTGTAGGAAGGAAATGGATGGAAGGCTTCTTGGGAGCAGCGAATAGCAGTGAGTTCACGGAAGGAATGGGCCTTCCCTCACTGGTGTGGAGGAGTTTCTAAAAGTCCCTCCTCTATGTGGGTGCCATTTAGAAATTCTTAGGCCTTTGAGGGAAAGCAGGAAGTGCTGTCCTGTGGTGGGTCTGCCGGCTACACCTTTCCTCGGGTCTAAGTTTTTCTTGACCATTTCTCATTATCATCCCTTTGTCTAAAGTATAAAATCATCTTTCTTCCTATTTCCACTCCCCATGACATTATTTGAAAACAATCCTTTAAAAAAATAGACCGATAATTCTATTTAAAAAACAAAACAAAACAAAACAAAACATGGTCAAGCATGTGTGCGTTTATGTGAGAGGAGAGAAAGGAGAGGAGAGAGGGGAGCACCCTCCACAGGGTCTAGTCACCCCACCATTGCCTTTCTCCAGTCCTCCAGCCCGTCAGAACTTGAGCGCTCATGTGTGTACCCTGAGTTATTCAGGCCTACCAGGCCAGGGACCCAAGCTGCCATGTATCATCTGGCTTCCCTTGAGTAGGGCATTACCACCTTACCACTGGGCCACAGAGCCAGCCTCCCTGTGAGATTCTGATACCACAGTTTTTACTGTCTAACTATTTATGTTCTGGGTGTATAGCTGTGGCTTCACACACAGAGAAAATAAGATTCTACCCCTCCCTCTAACTAGTTCTGACCCTCAGGAGGTGACCTGTCTACACTGAACATGCGCGTGGGCTGGCTGGGTGGTGCAGTAGTAACACACTACTCAAGCAATGCCAAATCCACGTGGAAGCTCATGGGTTTGGTTCCCTGGTCGACCCAAGCACGCCAGGCACGTGTGCTCATGATCCTGGCTTGCTTGAACGCTGGCTGAGGTTTGATGTGTGAGACTTGGCTGAGGGTACTTGTCTTACTTTATTTGTTTCTTATTCTCATAAAAGAAAGAAGTAAACTTAAAAAAGAGAGAAAGAGAGGCCAGCAGGTGACTTGATGATTAAGGGCACTGGACTCCCACATGGCTGACCACAGTTCGAGTCCCTGATCTGGTGGCTTGCTTTCTCACTTTCCCTCTCTCTCTCTTACTCTGTCCCTCTCTGGTCAAATTACAAGAAATAAATGGATAAATAAAGTTAAATAAAATAACTCTTTTAAAAAAGAGAGAGAGAGAGAGAAAGAAAATGCACCCTGTGGATGGACATGGAGGGAAACTCAAAGCTCCAAGATGAAGCTGACCTTGGACTCAAGTGCAAAACTGCGATATCTAGTGAGAAGGGGCCCCTGAAAGTTGTCTGCTCTGTTCCCTCTCCCCCTGGGACCATAGTGACTGAGTGGTCCTTCAGGGCTGTGCTCAAACGTCAGAGCAGTCCTCAGTCTGATCTTGCACCTGCTGGTCTGATTACTCGTGTTCTTCTACGAGGACAAGCACAGTGACTTGCTCGGGGTGACACAGGCAGGAAGCGGTGGAGTGACCTGGAGCCAGGTCTCCTACACACGCCAAAACTTTTCCCACTAGGCGGGCCTGCTTCCATGTGTGAGGCACACCAGCAAGGCTTCTCGCCCCAAATCTCACATTGAAACAGGCTGTGTCTGTCTCGTTTTTGTGCCCAGCACAGCACAGCCTACGCAGGTATTCCACTGATGTGTGTTGGATGGACCAGGGCTTTTATTCTGGTTTATGGACATATCTTTTAAAATGAAGATTCTGCAGGGAATGTCGTTAGAAACTTGGGGGGTCAGAGGTACCTTTTTCCAGGCATGGAAAATGGGGTTTGAGTCTCAGCAGGACACACAGGTGAGAGAAGGCTGGTCTCAGGCTGTCCCAGAGGTTGGCTCAGGTGAAGGCCCACAGCTGCTGGCTGAGGACATGGGGACATGGCAATAAAAGACTAGCTGATGGTCGGGGACAGCCTGGGGTGAGCTGTGGCTTGGGCTAAGCAAGCGTGTGGAGGATTTGTACATGGATCAAGGGGCCTCTAGGGGAGTCTGGTTGGCACGAGCTCTCTCTCTGCAAAGGCTCATCTCCTTGTTGGGCACCAGACCTGAGTCCGGGCACTTCTGAGGGCCACAGAAGTTGGTGGGGCAATGCCTGGCTGTGATACTGGTTGGCACTTAGTAAATGTTTGTTAAATGAATGACTGTGAACTTGAATGGCCATCAGGGAAAAGGAAAATTAGGCTGAGCCTTTAAGAATAAGTGTGTGTGAGTGGGGGGGGGCAGCAGATGGCGCAGTGGTAATGTCACTAGACTCCCACATGAGTGATCATGGTTTGAGTCCTGGACTAGGTGGCTTGAAACTCATGCTGGGCATGTGTGCATGCATTCCCAAAATTCCAAGAGGAGAATGGAGGAGAAGGGATCACGGCATGGCCATTCCCCCTGGGGGGCGATCTTTTGTTTTTTGTCTCTTTGTCTCTGTGTCAAACGCACCCACCTTATAGCAAAAATCTCTCAAAAAGAAAAAAAAAAGCAAGTGGGGTTGGGACAGATAGTTGATTTGATGGCTAAGGCGGATGGATGCCACCTAGCAAGTGTGCCATTCAAGTCCTGGATTTGGCAGCTTGGAAAATACGCTGGGGACATGTATGTGCATACTCAAAATTCCAAGAGGAGAATGGAGGAGAAGGGATTGTGCTATGACCATCCCTCCTGGGGGGTGATTTTTCACTTTCTCTCTCTCTATCTTGTCCAGTAAATCATGTGCCCTATAGCAGAAATAAAAACAAAAATAAACAAACAAAAACCTAAAAGGAAAAAGGATGAATGGGATCTATATGAGAATGGAGGATAAAGTGTCTGGAGGACAGTGATGGAGGGAACGTCCTGAGCATCATGAATCAAAGATATCCATTCTTTCAACAAATAGTGTCGAACAGCTACTGTGTCAGGCCCGGAGGGAGGCGGGGTGGGGGAGGAGTTCAGGTACTCACTGGGCCCAATGGAATGTCCGGCGATGTAGGTGAAGACACAGATGATGCCAAGGTAAGACAGCTCAGGCACCTTGCTCTGTGGGGAGAGGTAGGGCTATCTGGGCTTAGAGGCCCTGACCTTGGAGTCTGAGAGCCTGAGCCACAAGCCCCATGTACAGATGGGTCCACCCACCAGTCACACCTTCCTGCCACAGGAAGGAGCCACGTCTGGGTTTCTGAGCCCCTACACGGGCCTCGAAGGCTGTATGGGCAAGAGAGGAAGGAAAATGAGCACAGGACTGACGTCTGACACCCTCCACCCTACCAGGTTGAGAGCACGGTGCAGGAGGAATGCCTACCTCTTACTTCTATTCTTGCCGGGTGTCATTTTATGCACTTCCCAAACGTTCACCCATCTTTGTGAACTGCCTGAGTACGGACATTGTGGTTTCAATCCCACACGTGTGGGATCAGAGCAGGGAGCCCCGGACACAGACCCTGAGGGCCCTGGGTGCCTCGGGAATCAAGCAATGGCCTAAGTCACACAACCAACGGGGGCGGAGCTGGGATCCGGATCCTCCATGATCCAGAGAGAAGCCTTCTAGGTGCCACTGGACGAGGGGAGCACTCCTGGGGAGCACAAGTACACACGTCCCTGGATCAAGCAGGCTCGCCGTCCCAGCCACCTACTTCTCGCTGGCGAGGGCTTCATGCAGTGCTTCAGTGACTGCAAAAGCAACAGCGGCAAGCGGGTAGCCGAGGGACACGAAGGGCTGAATGTTTAACAAATATTTCATATTATGGCCAACCTTTTCACTTCTGTAGAACATGGATAATAAATGCTGGGACAATGACAAGCTAAAAATGCTGGGTTTCGTGTTTGGAAGGCCTGTGTGTTTTTGTCATCCTGTGATACTACTTTGCCCCCAACTACTTTGTAGTGTCTGCTAGCGCCGTTCCTTCACTCGTTCACCCTGATCTGCTCTCCAAGGTCTGTAGTATTAGACACAGACATGCAGCTTGACCTGTGGGGAGATTTCAGGATGGAGGCCTCTGCCCAATAACTGGGGATTATTTAAAGAACACAGTGTTAAATTACACTATGTTGGCCTAAAATGGCCGTTGTACTCCCACGCGTGGATTCCTACAGATAAGCTGAAATCGTAGCTGTTAGGCCCCTTTCCTGAGCTGGTTGCTAAGTCAGAGCCTGTCACATCCGCCACATTTCAGTCAGTCACGGGAAGCCCACCTGGTGGGCTGTTTGCGCAGCCCGTCACCAATCCAGTGGTTTCTCTATCTTGTTCTTTCACTTTCATTTTTGTACCTCATTTTCCCTTTTTCAGAACTTAAATACCGAGTCAACCATGCGGTTGGCCGGAGTTGTCTGGAAGTCCGGGGACGACTGCTTGATTTAAATAGCGTTAAGATGTGCTCCACTAAAGCGCCACTCGATTAAGTTGGCTGGTTTTTACACTGACGAATCAGACCATGCTCGTTTGCAGGAACTTCACGTCCCTCCCTCATTTCCTCCATCTTCATCCTCTATGAAGCCTTGCGTGTACTCGTTCCCCCTTCTGTTAAGGCTTCTCTAATCGCACACGACTGCATGGGTCAGCTGCCGTTGCCTGTCCTTCCCCGGGCTTAGTCTGGCGTCAGTGCCGACCTCTGCTCTTTTCGTTTACTTCTCCAATGGGGCGACTTCGGGTCTTACTCCCCTTGAGTCTTCACTTCTTCGTTACTGGCAGGCGCTTCCTAGTGCAGCTGTGCCTTGGCGTTCGCATGGTAAGATGCACGCTCTGTCGCTGGGTGGCCTCCGCCTCTCCTTTATGCGAGCGCGAGGGCGTCGCGTCTAATTAGTTACAATCACGCACCACACGGCAGACCGTGGACATGGCAGCGGTCTCACAGGACAGTCACGGAGCTGGAAACCCCGATTGCCTAGTGAAGTGACTCCATCTAACGCTGTAGGGCAGCTGTTACTCGCGTGTCTGCGGTGCTGCTTGGACACACAAGTCTCGCACAAATGTAGGGTGCATGCCATCACGCCGAGGCCGAAATACTTGCTGATGCTATCACGCGGCCATGCCAATGGTTGCTGTACTGACTGCTGCATCTTTTATCCCTGCAGTCAGGTGACGCTTCAACCAGCGTCAGACCGCGTCCACCCGGGGTCCCACAGGCAATACCAAGCGCCTAGGTGTACCGTAAGCTGTCCCAGAGGTCGGTGATGCTCGCACAGGATGAAATCGCCTAGCGATGCATTTCTCGGAGCGTGTCTCCACGTTACGTGACGAACGAATGCATTTGCACTGCTGAGTGCAGCTGAGTGGAATCATCCGTGACTTCACTGCGGGATGTGAGCGGCACAAGGCACTTGTCCATGAAGGGGACGTGCAGGCTGACAGACCGAGATCCAAGCACTGGGCCTTGCTGGTTCTGAGGGAACCTCCCAACCCTCGCCCTTCCCACCGCAATCTCCCACCCACCCAGGGGGCAGGAAAGTGCAGCCCACCTGGAAGAGGAGTGCCACTGTGAGCACCACGCAGGCCGAACCGCAGATGCCGTATCCGAGTAGCAGGAGCTGCCGCCTGCCGAGCCGCTCCACGGTGCCAGCCTGGAGGGGAAGCCGGGCAGTGAGGAGACACAGCACGGGGCACCCAGGGTTACGCCTGGGTCCTCCATGCCCTCCTGTGCAGCCCTGCTTAGGTGTGCGTCTCACCCCTGCTGCCTGTACCTGGGACACTGCTTCTCGCTATGGGACCCTACACCACGGCCTTCCTGGTTCCTTCAAGACCTCCTGGAGCTCGGCTTCCTGCACCCATCACCCCTCCTGTCCTGTAATAACCACGGCTTCTAGTTTCTGCACTTGATGCTTTGACATCTTGGGGCTGCGCTGAGTCTGAGTTAGCCAGTTCTCAGAGAGAGCAAAGGAACCCTGCCTGAGCGTATCCTTGTCCCATGCAGACCAGCCAATGCAGGCCACGCTGCATACCTCCTCCGTCAGCCTCTCACACCCTGGCCACTGCCCACCCGCGCTGATCACCCCAGGGCCAGGCACCATGCTGCCTGGGCAGCCCTTCTGCGACACAGCCACTTGAATTAAGCTGACTAGCCAGACCCAGCCTCCTCTACTCCTTCCTAGGGAATCCACAGTGAAGGCCCTTGCCCACATTTTCCTCCTGACTGAGCCGTTTGCTTCCCCTGGTGGCCACCTAGGGCACAGCAGGCCTCATAGCTGTGAGTAACAAACTAGCTTTTCTTCTTTTTTTTTCTGAAACATTTATTTTAATTAATTAATTTACATTAATTCCCTAAGTATCATCACAGCATACAAAATGTGATTTCCCATCCAGAATATACTGCACAGTGGCTTAATCATGCATGTTATCGTCAATAATTTTCCATTTCTAGTTTCATATGTATATGTATGTGTGTGTGTGTGTGTGTGTG